AAGTCAGGGCTTTGCATTTCTTTTAGCCCTGTTGTAAATGACTTTTTGAAGGAAGAATCATTAACCCAAGATATAGCAGTAAAAGAATTAATTTCTGATAGACATGTGAGAAGCCCATTCCTTTCTCATCTACCCCTAAACCTCAATTTAATAGGCTATAATTGAACTAAGTGTGATGAAACACTTTAAATGGTATAGTATTCTGACTGACACTTCAGAATAAAAAAATCCTTTAAAATATCCTAAAATAAGTTAAAAACTAATAAATAGTTTCTATAAAAATAGTATTTCCTGCTACCTCATGACACTTTCTCCATGCAGACTAAAGCTGGAGTATTTTATGCCTATTGCCTCAGAGAGGAGGACATCATTATAAAAGTACTGGCAACAAGAGTCAAATTCTTGGCCTTGAAGTTTCAACAGCCAAGTCCCAGGACCAGTAGTTATTTGAAAGAGATGGAAGAATAGTCCATCATTCAGAGTCACGGTCCAGAGCTGAGTGTAAGGAGGCAGTGTGACCTGCCCTGCCCACTTTTCAGCTGACCCCCAGGACAGTGTCTCAGAACTAATGCCCCCTGACACCCTCTAGATACTCCTGAACCTTGTAGGGCACAGGATCAGAAGAAATAGCCAGGTTATGTGTCTAGGCAAAGGACTCAAAGGCAGCCTTCCAGTTTCCCATGATGCCTACAGTGTGGAAACTAACACATGAGTTTCTCTCACTTCAGACAGAAGAATAGACTATTTCCTGGGCACTGAAGAGGAGAGTGGAATTGGCTATGAATGAGAACCTGGAATGAGAGAGATGCATGAATAGTCTATGTGGACAGAGGATATATGACTGAGGACCAGAAAAGTCAAAGTATTTTTTGGCAGAGGGCGACACAGGCAGAGGACAACAGAGGACCTGATGCCTGACCCCTCCAAGCTTCAGCACTCCCTCTCCAACACATCTCCAAGGAGAAGATTATGTTTCCTCCACAGACAAGAAGGGAATTTGGAAAAGAAATGAAATTCCACTATGAATCATAGAGGAAGTTGTTATCTGCATGGATTCTACAGAGATTCATAAAAGATTAATTAATTTTCTATTTACATTTTGCATTGACCTTCCAACATTGAGTGGTATATTTTACACGAAGCATGTACTCTGTGACTATTCGATACACTCCATTTCTTTACTTGGCTCTATGTTTGTACAATTATGAGGCCACAGCTCTCTCTTCCCACTCTCTCTTCCCACTCTTCCCTCTCTCTTCCCACTTCCCAATTATGAGGCCACAGCTCTCTCTTCCCAGTCTGATCACCACCAGCCACATGTGGCTCCTGAGGAATTGTGGCTAGTCTGAATTGAGATGCTCTGTAAATATCAAATTTGTACCTGATTTTGAAGATTTAGTATGATATAAGAATATAAAATATCATGCTAATATTTTTTGTAATTATTACAGATTGCTAATGTTTTGGATGTGTTTGGCCATTTTTATATAAACAAGATATTCATTTATATAAATAGGAAATATTATAGAAAACAATATAAAATATAATAAGTAAAATACAGTATTAAACTTAAGTTCACCTGTTTGTTTTTACTTTTTAAAAATGTGCCTGCTAGGGGGCAGTTGGTTAAGCATCCTACTCTTGATTGGGGCTCAGGTCGTGATCTCAGGGTCCTGAGATGGAGCCCTGTGACTGGCCCGTCACTGGCTCTGTGCTTGGCACAGACTGCTTGAGATTCTCTCCTCTCCCTCTGCCCCTCCTGCTTGTTCTCTCTCTCTCTCTCTCTCTCTCTCAAATAAATAAATAAATAAATAAATCTTTTAAAAAATGTGCCTGCTAGGAAATTTTAAATTTCATATGTGACTCACATTATATTTCTATTGGAAAATGCGGCCCTTGTATCCTCATTCCTATTGATCTCCTTTACTTTCACCTAAGTAGCTACTATCACTGCTTAATGCTTTCCATATGGAAAAAATTAAAATTAACTTTTCCATGTGGGCTCTTGATGATTATATAATGATAATGTCTAACATCTCCTGACAGGTTGTACTAGAAATAACATTGAAAAATAGCTTATATTTCATTGCCTGATAATTGGGAATGATCAGTTGGTCCGTAATTTGTACAAAAAGGAAAAGATTTTCTTTAAAGTAATTAAGGCCAACAATACCTCTGATATTTTCTTAAAAATGTTTGGTGACTAAAGAAGTATAATTAAAACACTTTCACAAGTGAAAGAGAAATCAAAACAATAAGAAAAATACTCTGATTTTTCAGTTTTGATTAGACTTATCTAATTCATAATCTTATATAACATGTAGTGATACATTAAAATAGGATAATTAGGCAAGGATTTATTTACAAAGGGACTATTTATTAAAGTACAGGGTAACTGCAGAGACAGTGCACTAATCAAGGGCTGGTATAGCAGCTGAGATTTGATACCTGTAGTCCTGAATCTGGCCATTTAGAAAGGAACTGTGACCTTCATTCAGGGGTATAGCCAGTTCCAGGGAAACTTCTAGAGATGAAGCAGAAGAATAAATCTTCTGATTTCACTCTGCCCGAATTCAATTTATTAAATACAATTTATTGTTAAGTTTCCCCATTGGCCAAACCCAAGTGTAATCCAATGGGCATGGGAGCCTTGCTGATGCCAGACCATTGTGATCAGCTTCCCAGTATTTATACAGCAGGGTGGAGAGGGGTAGAGAGTAAATCTGTAGGGGCATAGGGGATATACGTAGTACTTACTGTTTTTTCAGAATCATTTGCCATATTGCTAGACACATAGGTCAACCATTCCCTCCCTCTGTACTCTCTCCAAATAGAGAATTAAACCCTGAAACTAGAAGAGGATTCAGAGACCCAAGTCAACTACTGGCTTTCCTTTTCTTACACACTTCATGCTCTCCCTGGAGTACATTAAGTACTCCTATGGCTTCAGTTACTGTCTATTTACTGAGGACTATAAAATCCACAGGTCTTGCCCCTCCACACTAGATGGGGATTGCCAACTGTCTTCTGGTCACATTCACCTGGATGTCTCACAGGTTTCTCAAATTAGTTTGTCCAAGAAAGTATCCACGATTTACTACATGATATCCAGACAAAGCCACAATGCCATTGAAGCTGTTTCTTTACTTTCCAAAATGAAGATAGAAAATTTACAAGAGGCTGATTTAATTACAATTAGGAGAGGCTCACACAAGTAATTGTGGTTATTTTTGAAAATCTGAAAAATCCGTGTCACTATTCAGGGTCTCATACTAACACCAAGGCATAGCGTGAGATGCCCACAACACAGTGTACTCCCAAACTTTACCTGGGTTTCACCTCAACAATTGCACTGGCAAATACTTACCAAATTCTTCCTGTGTGTTAGGAACTTTACTTGTGCTCTTAAGTCTTACATGAACCTTATTATGATGAGGAAATTATGGCTTAGAGGAGTTAAATGACTTGCACAAGGTCTCATAGCTCATAAGCGATGGAGTTGGGTTCCCAATCTAGGTGGCCTAACTTCAGAACATGTGCACTTCACTTCTCTGCAGTACTGAATACAAATTATTCTTACAGTCCAGACAGAGGGACTAAAAGGCCACGAGCTAGGTGTTGCTATGTCTATCAGTGGGGATGCTAGGTGGGAGGAAGAGGGCAAGGAGGTATAATAAGGCATGGAGAATCTGGAGAAGAGAGCTCATAAGGTGAAAATCGCTAAGAAATAGGATCCTTTTTTTTCTTTTTTTAAAACACTACTTAAGCACGCATTGTGCTAATTGGGTATAGAAAAGGGATAGAGACAGTTTCAGTCACATGGGGAAGATAGGTAAACTCATCATGAATTTAAAAATTTTAGACTTGGGCACCTGGGTGGCTCAGATGGTTAAGCTTCTGCCTTCGGCTCAGGTCATGATCCCAGGGTCCTGGGATCGAGTCCCGCATCGGGCTCCCTGCTCCTTGGGAGCCTGCTTCTCCCTCTGCCTCTCTCTCTCTCTTCTCTCATGAATAAATAAATAAAATCTTTAAAAAAATTAAAATAAAAATTTCAGACTTGTGTGCAAGTCATTTGAAGAATTAGATATACATAGAATTCATTTGTTCATTTCATTTATTCAAAGAGTATTTCCTCAGTCCCTGCTACATTGTGCTAGAAGGAGAATCGAAGGGAAAAGTCACAGTCATTGTCATGAAGAAACCTACAGCCTGTCGAAGAAACTTCCACAGCAGTAATTCAGGAAGCAAGAACGGAGCTACAAGGACAGGGAGGTATTGCACTGCCTGGACTGCTCAGACAGTGACAATTGTGTAGTTAGCTGTTACCTGAACAAAAACTGAAGGCTCTGGGATGACAACAGAAGGACTGCAGTGCACAGATCTGAAGGGCTTGGGCTTTTTACTATGACAATCCAAATTGCTTTTGGTGGAATCACAAGAGGACGTGCATTTTTTGCACATCAGTTTTATTAAAAGTTAAAAAGCTTTATTAAAAGTTAAAAAATGATCTGAAGTTAAAAAGCACACGCACTTTATTGAAATATGGATGTATTATGTAGTTGAACACGACGGCGTGTGAATTAGAAAGTTATGACAGGAAACGAAATTTTACAGCTGGGCAGGCAGAGGGCTCCCTCCCCTGAACATCTTGGGGCTGGAGTTCATTGTCCTGAGCACGTGGAGAAAACAGGATTTTAAGCGCGCGAGACAAGTGTTAAAGAGGTAAGTACACGGACTGGGGAAAGATTGTGGTGCAGGGAATTCGGAGTTTGTGCTCTCCTCTGCTCCCTGGACTTCTCAGCAGTTCTTAAAGACCCTCCACCAGGTGCCCCTTTGTCACCACACAACGCCTGACTAGCTGGAAGGTGCCCTTTTCAATTCCGAGCGCCTCGTTGCCAGGGCAACCCTCTTCTGCTCGGCGCCTTTGCATCCTCCCTGCGAGAGGCTTGGAGGACGCAGCATGCGTCTGACGTCACTGCGCGGCGCCGCCAGATCCGGGCACCGCGCGCAGCCTCATTTTCCCCGAATCCCGGCGGCGGGTGACGGGAGTGGGGTAGTTGGGAGAGGGCGCCGGGCAACACTCTCACCCGGCGTGGCGGCTGGTGTGCGGATCGCCGCGGGAGAGAGGCGCGGTAGGAACGGGTTGTGGGTGCCCTGGGCCAGGGGTGCGGGGATTCCGCGGTGCCGTCCGCGCTGTCATGGCCCAGCCGGCTTCCTCGCTGGCTTGTTGCTAAGGCCGCCGGACTCCGTTGCCAAGGACCTTAGAGTTGCCGGGCGCCGAGAGCGCACCCTTCCTTTCTAGGGGTCTGGCTTTGGCGGAGAATAGCCCTCTTTGGCCTTAATGGAAAACTGGCCGTCTACCCGTCAACGCCCCCCCCCCCCCCTCAAAAAAAAAAAAAAAAAAAAAAACCTTTTTTTTTTTTTCCGCCTACACGTCGTCCTTATTTTCTAACTTTGACAGCACCCTGGCTTTGAACTGTTCTTAAGTATTTGGAAATGTATGGTGTTGGGGAGGGTAAGAGGGTAGGAAAATGGAAAGCAGATTTTAAGACTCTTCATGCTGGCCCTTTGGATTTACTTTACGAACTAAGGAATTGAGATAGGTGGATATTGGGCTCTGTCGCTGCACTTTAGAATTTGAAGGAGCCCTAGAGATGGGTCGTGGCTTCTTTAGTGGGGTACCTATTACACTTTTGGAACTTTCTAAACAATGGATGAGAGAGTTGGAAGAAACGTGGTCCTGACCCCTGATAATTTAGCAAGCCCTGTAGTGAGTGCAGTGGTCTCAGAGCGTGGTGCGGGAAGAAAATGCATATGGGGAAAGAAATAGGATATGTGACCTATCCAAAATAATGAAACAAAAGTATGCTTTCCTATCATTGACACACATATCCACAGCCCCTTTCAGATGAGCAGATGGGCCACAGCACCTAAGGAAACTAAGGAAGAGTGAGGGTTCCACTGTGGACCTTGCTTGGTCTGCTTGCTCTCTGATATTGTGACATGGTTTAGATGTTTGGGTCACGTGGACTCTAGTGCCTGTTTAGAATCTTTGTATTGTTTTGTAAAAGAATGAGAGGTGACTGATAATATTTGTAGCACAAAATAGTTCTTAGCTTTTCACTTCCTCTCACCATTATTACCTCTTTACACCACCCACCATGTGTCAATGGAAAAGCACTCAAGAGAATTAAGTGTAAGATGAATAAAGCAGTTTTCTTCTACAGACAACTCATGTACCAGTCTTGTCAGTGGTATGCTCCCAGATGGATATAGTTCTTTAAAAATTTTATTTATTATTTATTTTAGAGTGAGAGTGCACGGGGGTGGGGGGATGGAGAATCTCAAGCCGACTCCGTGTTGAGCACAGAGCCAGTCTTGGGGGCTGGATCTCAGGACCCGTAGCAGAAATTAAGAGTTGGACGCTTAACTGAGCGGCCCAGGCACAGCCCCGCCAGATGGATATTATTTTTAAAAAATTGAGAATACTTAATTTGTAAGGTAAAGGGTGATACTTTTAACAATAAGTGAAAAATATTTGTTTTTTGGAAAGAAGCTCTCTAATATAGAGTGTTTTCAAAGTAGACATAGAAATGTTTGCATCGTGTATGTGTGTTTTGATGTTATTCCTGGAAGTTACGTAAGAATATTAAATGTAAAAACTGCCCTGTAGGTGTAAAACCTTTGGAAGCTCAATTTTCTGGCATGTTTTATAAAAATTTTTTAAATGAAGAGTTTCCATGGCTTTTGGAGCTCATTCAAAATATGATGCAGCACCTTCCTAGTAGTACCTCTCAGGAACAACTTTTTCACATAAAGGAAGATAGAAATTTATTGTTCCAACAAAAACTTTTGTAAATTTGATAGGTAGTGTTGAAATATGTGCATCATGATTTGATGTGGCCAACTCTGCTTTTCTTATGTTTGTGGGTAGGATCTTTGTGCTTCTTTTCAGCTGTAACAGTTATTAAAATTTACGATCAAAATTAAATATTAATTTATTAGTCTTAATCAACATTAAAGTAGTTAAATAATTACCCCAATTGCAGCTGAAGAAGCAGAGACACAGATTTATTTATTTAAACAGAAACTTAGATCATACTATTCCCATCAGGACCTTCTCAAAGCAGAAACTGGTACGATAGTAAATACTTGCTGAACATTCACTGAAGTGCAGTGTAGGTCGACATATTTAAAGCCTGCCTTACCTTATCTTAGAATATTATCTGACAAATTCAATGAGGCATTAATTACCATAATTGTGAAAAATGCCTTGGGAATGAGTGTGAAGTGTGATATTGGGAGGTAAGTCATCTGCTGGTAGTAGGATGAGAAAAATTAGGTCAATACATTAAGAAAGTTGAAATTTAAAATTGTTCTGTGTATGAAACAATCTTACATTTAATTTATCCTGACAAGGCACTTTGAAATGGTCACATAGTGCTTGAAATATTTTGGGTCTGAATTACGTGGAGTTGCGTCCTTGTGAAGATTTCTAATTTGTCAAGTAGATTAAAATAATCTCATGAGGAATCACTTGAAAAAGCACCAGTGTTTATCCTTTATAAGGAGTTGAGAGTCTCTCTTCAGCTATTTGAAAAACTGTCATTTGGAAGTGGAAGAAGACTTCACCTGTGTTACCTTAAAGGAAGATCCTACAGTGTAGTTGAGGGGTAGTTTATATATTTAATAACAATATTAAAGGCTTAAAGTGGGAAATGCTCTAGTGGAAGAATGACTGGAGTGCTGTGCAAGTGAGGGAATGGAGTGATCTAGTAGAAATAAGAAGGAAACAGTGCAGGAATCAGAGTGCCATGGAAGTGTACATTTGAGAAACAGAGAGAGAAGATCAGGAAAGGCTGCATACTATTTGGGATTGGAGCTCGACCTAGAAATACTAGCCGGCAGTTGGGTATATGAACCTGGGTGTGTGTGATGGAGGGTTCTTTGGTAGAGATGAAAGTTTAGAAGTACTCTGACTAGGCAGAAAATCATCACTGCAAACTAGAGTCCTCCCATTAGCAGAAAAGAGGGACCTGTGGAAGAGGCAGAAGTGAACCATCACTGGCTGGTTGAGCACTGGATGGATGAGCAACTTATTTACTCCTCAGGAACAGTCTTCATAGACTTGTATTATTCTCCCATTTTAATAGGTCTGGAAATCTTGAGACTTAAGGAGATTAAATAATCTGCCAAAATTCATAATTGGTAGAGATGAGGATAAAGACCCTGGTCTGAGCCAACAGCTCCTTCTACCTTATCACACCACATTGATCACATCTGTAGGGTTGAGTGTAGGAAGTGAAGGGAAAGAGGATCTTAAATTTTTCAGCATGAGGGACCAGAAAAGTGGTGGTATCTTGAATTAACAAGGGGTCCATAACTTCAGTGTGATAACCTTAGTTTTGGTTATGTTCAGTTTAAGGAGCTTGTAGTGCATTGAGTAGGAGAGTTCATTATGTCACTTGAAAAATAGGACTTGATATGCTGATGTTAGTGTTTGGAACTTTGGGAATACAAGGCCAGAGAGAGATGCTAGGGGATGTGCCAACCACTTTCTCCTTTCAGAAATCTTTTTTTTTTTTTTTAGTTTTATTATGTTATATTAGTCACCATACAGTACGTCATTAGTTTTTGATGTAGTGATCCACAATTCATCGTTTTCATATAACACCCAGTGCCCCATGCAGTACGTGCCCTCCTTAATACCCATCACGGGCTAACCCACCCCCCACCCCACCTCCCCTCTAAAACCCTCAGTTTGTTTCTCAAGAGGCCATAGTCTCTCATCTAATCCATATTTTCTGAATATAACCAGAGGTTTGCAATTGAGTTTCTAAAAGCATATTTTGACAATATGAATGGAAAAGAAAGTTTATTCTTACACATCTTATTTTCTTACAGATTGTTTTCCATTTGCTGTTATTGATATTATTGAAGTTGATATAATTTCATATTTTCTCATTGGTCTTTCTGGTGTTTGGTTCCATGCCATACCTTTTTTGTGTATCTTTTTTATATTTTCTACTCTGTTCTTTTTTGGTCTTATGTCGGTAATGAATCCCTCATTCCCCAAATTCTGAAATCAAGTTTCATTTGACTGCAGGAATAAAAGGGAAGCAATGCAGAAATCAGAGTGCCATGGAGGAGTACATATGAGAAACAGAAAGGCAGGTACAGAACACTGTTTTTTAAATGAAGAGGTGAAGTTTGTTAATGACACATTGTTATGCAGATGAATAAGAGTGAGCTTTATCTCTTTCACCTCTTTTTTTTGGTTGAGCTTCTGTTTTTTTCCAGGTAGCTGTGATCAAAGGACATTGTCAAGCATACAAATAAAACATAGGACTACAGTTCAAAAAAGCAACTCCTCATCCTCAACCAGTTCTCCAGAGACTGCAAGAAAACTTCATCCTCGACCAAGTGATAAACTTAACCCTAAGACCATTAACCCGGTAGGTACAAAAGACATTCCTGACTCAGTAGATTTTTCAAAGTAATAGACATTTAGTGCACTGTTGAATCGTTCTGAATACTGTCCCAAGTTCCTTTTGTTTGTAATTTTTTTTTGTTACATTTAAGCTAGTGACAGAGCATATGGTAATCATGATGAAGAATGGAAATAATGATGTGAGTGTGGAAGTGAGAAGGTATAGAGAATAACCAGTTGTGGTATATCCTGTCACATTCATGGATGAATGTACTAGAGTATAAAATAAATTGCACATCAGCTTTATTTTTTATTTACTATAGTTCTATTACTTCCTAATATCAATGAATAAACTTGTATTCAATTGACATAGGATGAATTACATGCCTCCATAGTTGCATAAACATCTCTGACGATGTTGCTATGATCTATAAATTAGCTCCCCCAGAAATCCCAACTACAGTACTAGCCTCCTTTTGTCTTCTGACAGCAGTTTAATCAGATTTAACAAACATGAGATTTATGTACATGGAAGTGAATAATTATAAGTGTGTGGATCAGTGAATTATCCAGAAAGTGAGCAAACCTGTGCTGCTCACAGACACCAGGTGGTGTCTGCCCAGCCTTGCATAGGTTAAGATGATCATGGTTTCAGCCTTTAAAGGGAATTAGGAGAGTGGCTGAGACACTGACTTTGATGGCAGGTAAAATACAGCAAGGTTACAATGAACTGGCAAGGGCAGAAGGAGATTGTCTGACTTTACAAATGAAAAATAGTGTAAGCATATGTGTTCCCTTGCTTCTTTCTTTAATCTGCAGTGTCAAGTTGAATTCCTGAAGAATGCCGTGCTATCTCCTTGTTCTTGCTTCTTTCCCCCTGCTAGTTGAGAGAATTCATGGTGACACTTGAGTCTTCTTCCTCTCTTTGAAGAACATTTTTAAGTAGTAATATAAGTAACCCTAATTTTAAATTTTACTAAAAATGAAGGAAAGTTTTGAGAAATAATGATTTGACCTGAGAATACAGTATATTATACAAGACCATGTCTAAGATCTGTAAAAGCTACCAATCCAGAGTAAGTCAGTTAGAGTTCACCATTGGGGGAAGAGGTAGTTGTTGGGATGAGGCACTGAGGAGGTTTCTAGGGTGCTGGTAACATTCAGGTTTTCCACACCTGAGTGTTGTTATACCACTGTTTGTTTTGGAGAATTCACTGGTCTTGAATGTAAAAAAAAAAAAAAAAAAAATGTAACTCAGTATAGTGGGGTATATTTAATAATGTTAATTATTTTAGAGTTGAAATATGGTCCGTGATAATTGTTAAAAATTGAAGGGATAGCAGTTTTTTTCATGGTAATAGAATTTTGGTAAAATTTGGTAAAAATTGATAAAACGAACCCATTGGTAGAAAAAACATTTTTGATAATGAGCGACCTGGAAGATGAAACTATGATTATCTCTAAAACGAGCTAAAAAGAAAAGGAAAGGAATTGCTTAGAATTTCAATCAGAAATTTTGTCTTGCTGGGTGTTTTGGAAATTTAGGGATTATTTACATGACCTGTAGGTCCAAAAAGTAAGATCATTTGCTAATAGGTGCTAGAACTAAAAAAAGTGTCTGTGGCCCTAAGTTGTCTTAATTTTTCCCCCATTATGAGAATATTTTTTAAGTTCCCTTATTTAATAAGATTACATGAAAACAGTTTTTAAAACATACTTTTCTTAGTAGGAGTTATAATTAGATGAATGAAACATTACTATTTCTGTGAATTATTATGCAGAATGTGGATTGAAGTTTGTAAATGAATCTTACTATAATATTGTATGATAATGAAATTTCATCTATGTGTTTTAACTTCAAACATGTGTTTTTCTGGAGGAAAAAGAGCTAATTCTAAACTTATACCCTTAAGTATATTTTTTAATTACTGCATGTGATTTTAAAATATTTTGTAGCCAGTTTTATCTTTAAAATAGGAAAGTTTGTGTTTTGTAATTTAGACAACTATATTTCATTTGATTATGTTCGAAGTACCATGTGATAAAATATTTACTTTTTGTGCCTAAATTATCTATGTCTCTGATCAACTATTGAAATTATGTATGCTGTGATTGTTAAACTGTTGTGCTCGATCACCTCTTACATGGTCTTTGGGAATAGAGTTAATTTATTCTTAAGATAATACATAGACAAACTGAAACTTGTGAAGTTCTGTATCTGAGCAGATACATCCAGGTAGATATTTGTGAGAGCCTTGCTCTTTCTTCAGTTCTATCACCCCTGCCCATCCTAAGCCTTTCTTTTTTAGAGAAGCATAAAACAAGTTCGGGGAAATTACAGGTTCTCTGGCCATCCAGACATCTCTATTTGCCTGGAGGACAAGTAGGAGATGTGCTGGAGGTTGAAAACAAATCTGCTTTCTCTCTACTTACCTCTTCTTCTCCACGGACCCCTCACCTTGAAAGGTCACAGCAGTGGAGAGTAGAAAGATGTATTGCCTTTATTATATTTATTTGTGATGTTCATTCTTAATAGTATTTGTCTATATTATATTTACTATACATGTGATTCCAGCTGCCTTCAAGCCTCCTGAAACAAGTTAGGGGTGTAAACGAAATATAGAATGTGTGGTTGTGGTTCCAGTACTGAGAGGATTGGTAATTTTCCTCAGAGTGATGCATTTGATACCAGTGTCATGGGTTGAAAGTCAGGATGTCCATTCGCCTCTGACATCAGCAGGATTAAAATTGATTAGGTATCATCACAAAGTGGAGGTGATAGTATATTTATCGTATTCTTGTCGTTTTTTATTTCAGTTTGGTGAACAGTCACGAGCTCCTTCTGCATTTGCAGCCATTTACTCTAAAGGAGGTATTCCTTGCAGGTAAAATCAATACAGGTTATAAATTACCATATTATTCAAAATAATTGAGTAAAATCAATAACAGTAGTTAGTTTAAATGTGTTGAAAATTTTATTTACTAAGGAGGTTGAAATAAAGGTGACTTATTCATGCTTTGGCTGTTGGTATAGATCGTGGGACATTGTTGAAGAAGATCATTTTAATTCCAGAATAGAATTACCAATAGATCTATAATTTAAGATATTGAATGAACCAGTTTCTGAAACAATATAAGCCTTCACAGGCTTGGACAAGTTGCAGATAAATAGTCCTATTTTGTTTGTAAACTGAAAGTTGACAATTTAATGAAACTGTTCCATTATTTTTTGAAATGGTATTTCAAAAGTTTCAAAAATTATATTTCTAAATGAGTACATACAGCTGTTTTTGCTCACTTTTCATACAGTTCTTGCCACCTTTCAGGATATACATCAGAACTGTTTTAAAGAAAACAATATAGTTACTAATGGAGTGATACCATTTTAAGATTTCAGTACCAAGAAACATTTATTTCTTCTAAGTATATCCAGTTTTAGACTGTTCTAGATGATGGAAAATGTCATTTTAATTGTGAAAAGAGTAATCACAACATTTTTTCTGTTGTTCTAACATTCAAGAAATGTAGTTTTTAATGGTATTTGCAGATTTGGAGGAATAAGCTCAAGAAGCACTCTTCATTTTATTGTTAGTATTTTTTTATTTACATTCTGAGTTGAAACTGTATTTTAAGGTTCTTATACCCCCCCCTTTCCCACTCCAAGCAATTATGGTTGCTAAAATAGTAAAAATGTTATCAAGACCTCTTGCTATGAAGAAAATGATGCTAAAGAAGGTGTCGAGAAGTTGAGAATGTTACAGAAGTGTGAGGAAACATTTGAGGGTGACGTATAATTTCACTGTCATAATTATGATGATGGCTCATTGATGTATTCACACATCAAAACTTAAATTTTACACCTTATAACCATGTGCAGGTTTTTGAATGTTGGTTATTTTTTTTTTAAGGATTTTATTTATTAGAGAGAGAGAAAGCACAAGTGGGTGGGGGGGGAGCAGAGCGGGAGAGGGAGAAGCAGATTCCCCACTAAGCAAGCAGGGAGCCCAACAAGGGCCTCGATCCCAGGACCTTGAGATCATGACTGAGACAAAGGTAGACACATAACTGACTGAGCCACCTAGGCGCCCCTATTGAATGTTGGTTATGCCTCAGTAAAGGCTGTAAAAAAAAAAAAAAAAAAAAAAAAAAAAAAGCAGCAGTGACTCTAATTGAAGGGGCTACCACTTTGTAACCTTGTGTGGTCTACTTAACCTCCTGCCCTCAGTTTTCCTCTGTTTAGCAGGGCTAAAACCCGGCTTGTCTTCAGATCATTAGGGTTAAGTGATCCATTATCTGAAAAATAATGTTCTATGTAAAACAAGTTACTGTTTCTCATTATCACATTTCTTTGCACATCTGTAGGTTATCTATTTTGTTATAAATATGACTGAAACATGTCAAGTGTAGCATTTGTATTAAGACTTACAGACAGCAGCATGCTTGAGCTCTGAAACTGTAGGCTTAACAAATATGAAGTTTAGTTTTGCCATCAAACAATTTTGCCGAAAGAGTAGGAGTTTGTGGGATTATAGACATTGCTGCATAAGATGTCTTTGTAATATCATTTCATAATTACTGCTTACCATATAATTACATTGTCCATATTATGTTCACTGATGTTTATTATTTTAGACTGGTCCATGGTTCAGTGAAACACAGATTACAGTGGGAATGTCCTCCTGAAAATCTTCCATTTGATCCTCTTCTTATTACTTTAGCTGAGGTAAATGTATATTCCATTTCTTCTGAATGTTTGTGGAAAAAAAGAACTTTAAAAATTGTATTTCATATTACTTTGTAATGCATCAGTAAATCTTATTCTTTACTTTTGAAATAAGAGCCATGTAATAGTCATTAAAATACCACGCTCCCTTAGGAATTAATTATCAGTGTATGTTTATTAGGAACTGATTAATTGGGTTTATAAACAAGTTTGTCTACACAGGGATTTGTAGATAAGTGGATGAAATATTCATACTTAATTCCAAAAATAAAAGTACTTAGAATCATATGGAACTAGTCGTATCAGGAGAACATTAGCGGTTTAACTTAAACTACATCAGATAACAGTGAGTGGTTGATCTATTTCCATACAACCAGTCATGCTTAATGTGAATGTGATGTTTCTTAGGGAACTGATATTAACTACGTAAACATCCTTTTGGAGAATTCTCTGGACTTTTGCCTGCCTTTATATTTTAAGTAGAATATCATGGACATCATTTTGGTAGAGCATTTTAGGAAAACTTCTGATAAATTCCTTTATAATATTTAACATATCAGGAAAAAGTTGGCAGAGTATTAACTTGAGGTGAATTAATGATCTCTTCTGTGAAATTTGTTCCTTTTGCTAGAGTCACAAGTTGAGAAATGAATTAACCCGTTGTCTTATATTTAAGTTATAGATACTTGTCTTTTTTAAGAGCTAAGGATCATTTTTGTTGTCTTTTATTTTTAATTTATTGCAAAATCATTTTGGTATGAAAGCAGTGTATTTTTATGGGTAGCCTATTTTGAAATTCAATTTTGATTAAAGTCTTTTAAACTTGGTATTAAAAACTTAAAATATATCAGTATTTCATTTGTTCTTTTAAGAATTTTAAACCGTTTTTTAGATGAATCAGTACCATAGTGACACCTTTGAAAACATGCTCCAGCTAATCACCAGGGGCGGGGAGTGCTTTAATCTGGGGAGTCCCTACAGGGAGTCTGTGTTTAGTGAAGATCACATAAAGGTCAGACCTTTAAATAATTATTTTCCAAACACCAATGGCTTTATTTGTGTGTTGGGTAGATTCTTAGCCTTCCCCTCTACTCATTTAATAATGGGTAAGTACTGACAGGACCACCACTGTGGGAATCCACTTCACCTCTTGGCCTGGTTCCTCATCTCTGAAGTGAATGGGATAGGAGGATAGAGGCACTCTTAAGATGCTAGAACCTGTGGGCCAAAGTGGTGCTGCTGTGTTTGGCAGCACAGTTTTCAAGAGCATCCAGGAAAGGAAGTGTTGAATCACTATTTGGAAGCAGATAGTCTGGTCCAAAGGACAAATTAGTTGAAAATTAGTATTTTTAGGCATGACTTTGTAGCCACTTATACTTATTCACAGACAATAATAAGTCCAACTGAGGGAGTATTGCTATTGCTTTTTTTGTTTGCTGTTTTTAAAAAAAGCCAGATGGCCCTTCTATCTTGACTCAAAGTGATGGGTTAAATCATAAAAGAGTACTAATAGTTTCTGATGCATTTAGGGTGAAAGAAATGATACAGGTTTTTTTTCATATTTTTATTTCACATCCCAAGGTTAAAAATGATATTTAAAATCTTACAGTGGTTTTTGAACATAGGAAAAGATGTTTTCAAATATGTTAATGTAAAATATTTAAATATGAAGGAAATATAATACTTTAGAAACTCGTTAAACAAGTTGCAAACTCACCATAAAGGTAGGAGTTCCGATAATTATATCCATAAAGTGGTGGTTATAAACCAGCATTTGAGACTGAGTTGCTGTGCTTTCAGGCAGTATTTGGGAGTATATACAAAATGTTTTTAGTACCTTAAGGTTTCTTTTTCTTTTATTTATTTACCTTTCCTCTCCTTCCCTCCTTCCTTTCTCTTTTTTATTTCCTTTATTTTTCCTTTGCTTTTCCTTTCCTTTTTCCTGTTCCTTTCATTTTTAAAACATTTTTCTTCCTTGCTGTGGGTAGAAATTCTTTCTGTCTCGTGTATGTCCTTTGTTCCACAATTTCTGGGTTTAATTGAAATCGTAATTACTGAAATTATAAATCATGATTAGGAAAACCATAATAAAACTTGATTTTCATTTAGACTAGTGAGGATTTAATTTTGTTAGCATAACCAGGTACGTAGTAAGCCTTGTTTGTTTGTTTTCTCTTTGTCAGGGTTTGAGAGAGACTAAACATCCATACACCTTTGTGTCAAAGGAGGGTTTTAGAGAATTACTGTTGATCCAAGGAGCTCCTGAGAAAGCTGTACCTTTGCTTCCAAGACTGATTCCTGTGCTAAAGGCAGCTCTGGTATCCTCTATTCCTTTGGACTTTCTGTGGTACATTTAGAATATTTTATGTCTTTTTTCTTCCAAATTATATGCAAATTGGTCCTTTACATGTGATTTTGATGTGCGTGCAAAATTAGGCCACCATTATTCAGGGACAGATGATTACTTATTTGAAGACGCCTTTAGAGGATATACGAAAGATAAAAGGGGACATTTTAAGTAATTAGAGAAAGTAATAAATCTCACATCAGGCTTGCTGCATGCTGCAATATGGTTTAGCTAGTGTTTCAGTCAAGCCGGAGATTTATTTTTTTTTGTTTCTAGATGGTCTGGCATTAATGGTTGATTCTGGGTTTAGTTGCTTATCTTCTGATTTTGAATGTTCAGTCTTCCTTTTTTCTGGTTTGACCTTTCTTACTTAACTTTCCTTTTCTCCTCTTTCCTTTCCTGTCCCAACTAACCCTCCAGGTCCACCTGGATGATGAAGTGTTTGCAAGAGGACTGAATGCTCTCGTGCAGCTGAGTGTCGTTGTCGGTCCATCTCTAAATGACCATCTTAAACATCTGCTTACAAGTGTAAGTACTGAGAGGATGAGAGAATGGTTGTCAGTGTGTATCATGCACTATCTCGTCATGATTCAGTGGCTTCAATTAATCATTAACTGATTCAGAAATCTTAAAAAAAAATAATCATTCTTTAAAAAAATATAGATAAAAGCTAGTAGTTCATAAAATATTTTACAAATGTACAGTATTCTCTTTAATTTTTTTTTAATGGAAAGCACCTACATGAGCAGAATTTAGGGTTGTAAGAAAAACCAAGCAAAAGTTGAATGGACAAAAATTAATGGACAGTACAATGGTATTATGCCTATGTTGATTAGCCGTGAACTATAAGGACGGCTTATACACCCTCCTGTGTGATTGTGCATTGTCACAGCCATGTTTTTCATCTTTTTCTTTGGTTTTTCCTTGTAAGTTTTTTAGTGAGTCTATAAATAGTATTCAGGATGAGACTTTTTCCTGTTGTGTGTAGTTTAATCCTGAGGACAAGTACAGAATGGGGTATTAGACAGTTCAGGAGTTTCCCAAGACCACCCTTAGGTTGTTAGAGGACTCATGAAACTCAGAAAAGCTGTTATTTACTGTTTCAGTTTATTACAGTGAAAGGATACCAGTTAAAGCCAGCGAAGGAAGGAGGTACATAGAGCAGAGCCTGGGAGGGACCAGGTGTGGAGCCTCCAGTTGTCCTTCTCCCCAGCAGAGTTGTGTGGACAGTGCTGGCTCTTTCCAGCAGGGATATATATGTGGCAACACACATAGGGTATTACCATACTGAGAACCTCACCTTAGCGTGCTGTCCAGGGTTCATGTTAGGGGCCTGCCGTGCCAGCATGACTGGCTGCTTGCATGGCTGACCTTAGTCTTTGGCCTCTCTAGACGTTGAGCTGAGATCCTGTGGCCCAAGGCTCCCCGGGGAAACAAAGATACTCGTTTTTTTTTTTTTTTTAAGATTTTATTTATTTGACAGAGACACAGCAAGAGAGGGAACACAAGCAGGGGGAGAGGGAGAGGGAGAAGCAGGCTTCCTGCTGAGCAGGGAGCCCGATGCAGGGCTCAATCCCAGGACCCTGGGATCATGACCTGAGCCGAAGGCAGACCCTCAACGACTGAGCCACCCAGGCGCCCTGAAACAAAGATACTCTTATCTGGCAGGTCATACCAAGGGCTTAGAAGTGTCCATCTAGGAGCCAGGGACAAGGGCCAATCCTTTCTTAGGCGAAGTTAATCCTTTACTGCACACACTGATAAACCATTAAAGTCCTTGCTGGAATAACCCACAGCTAGCATTTCTCTATGTGCATCCTTCTGTAGTTCAGAGTTGAGGCATGTATTTTGATCATAGTTCCACTGTTTTTTCCTAGACACATCCATCTGAGAGATCCTAGAACTGTATTTTTAACTTCTTACTCTTCAGAGAGACTAATACACCCCAGAAACATCTGGCCAAGCCTATAGAAAGTAGGGATGGTAGTGAATCTATCAGGATTGCTATGCTGGGGTTAGGAATGGTGGAAGATGAATTCCCACGAGCACCAGGTGTTTGATGGGGAGAAGACACAGTGGAAATAGACTCTCAAATAATATGTGGGAAGCCTTTGGAGAGAAGGAAGAGAATCCTGGCAGGTTTTTGCTTATAATGTTTCGGTCAGCAAGTTGTACCTGACTAACCACAGGAATTTCACCCTAATAAATAAAATGACTCATTTTAGATTGATTGCTGCAGTCAGACAATCAACATTTTAACCAATCTGTTGCCCTCTGCCCTCCAGTTTTGTGCCAAGTATTATGCTATAGGCACTGGGACTATAATGCTGAACAAAAAACGATATGCACTCTGCCCTTATGGAGATTGGTTTTTGTTTTCGGAGAAGTAAGTAGGAAGGATATCCACTGAGAAGGTTGGAATGAGGTGAAGGGGATCTGATATACAGAGAAAAGGAATCACACTGGATCCTTCCCCGCACTCGAAGTTGAGCAAGGCCAAGAAGCTCCGCTTCCTAAATAGCCTCCCAGTCCCACCCACCATTGCAGAAAGATAAAGGCCAGATTAACAACTAAACTATGTAAGTTTGTTTGTTTTAATTTTTCTGGGGCAGTAGCATTAATGTTTGGTCACTCACATTCCTCCCCAGAACCCTGCTTTTTCTTACACTGGACTGACTTAAAGGGGCCTTTTACCTTCCTGGAGTGTCAACACTTTGGGGAGGATCTGGATATCACACTGGCCTTTGTATGCTGGTTGGATTCCATAGAAGAGAGACCCTCGGCAATAGGCCATATGGGATTAAATCTTGGTCTGTTAGCTACACACCACCATGAGACAGGCACCCCTGAGGATCCATTGAGGTGCTTTGGTACTCCCTCCTTACTTCACTTACCCCTCTTAGCCAGAAAGACTCGTTTTGATTTACATATTTTTTGTTTATAGACCTCTGCATTAGATGTTATTTGAAGGGTTTCCTTGACTAGAAAAAGAATTTCAAAACCAGTTACTGAGCCCATATACAAATCATTTCACTCATATTCAAAATAAGTCAAATCCTTTCTTAGCTTCAACTCAAACTTCTACTGATCCTGGGGGAAAGAGAAATAAATCACCTGAGAATCTTGATGAAAATGCAGAAGTTAGGCCTTTACCCTGAGATTCTGGTTAAGTATCAGGTAGGACCCTAAAAGCTACTTTTTGAATGAGTATATCAGGTGATCCTGGAGGTGGTGCTTCATGGATCTGCCCATAAGCCACTGCTCCCGGGTAGTGGAGAAACCAAAGATCTGATTTCGCAAGAGGCACTTTTTCTTTTTCTTCTCTTCTCTTCTTCTCTCCTCTCTTCTCTTCTCTTCTCTTCTCTTCTCTTCTCTTCTCTTCTCTTCTCTCTTCTCT